ATTGTATGAAATGAATAAATAAGAATGTTCACCAACTACACAAAACATTATTCCACCTCCTACTTTGGCGAGTAGCGAATGGGATCTTAAAAGTTTGCAAGAAGCCATCTAGATGCAACAATAGGCCTCTCCTCATCCAGAGCAAAGAAGAATGAAGAAAACCTAAGATTCATGAAAACAATTAGTCCCAGCAACTGGTAAACCATGCGATCTGCAGCCTATATGACTATGAGATCAGAAGAACTAGATGGTGCTGGCTACCACTGTCAACCACTTGGAGGGGGAACTATGTAGGAGATCCTGGATAGAGAGGGAGAACAACGTGGAACAAAACTCAAAATCTTTTGGGGAAAAAAAAAGAGGAGGGCGGACCAGGTTTGCTGGTCTGACAGGGCCTGGAGGAACCACTGAGACTATGGCCCCTATCTGCCCTTCAGGTCTGGAATTGAAACCATATCTGTGGCTTCCAGCCCGTCTTCAAAAGACAGGCATATAAGTTGAACATTTATCTGAGGTAGATACACTCCTTGGAGAGAACAATCATGGGAGAAAGAAGGGCTGTTTATGCACAGGGAGACAGCTCAGGGGGCAGAAGTGCATGGAGGGATGGACACAGGGAAGAGGTAACTATTGGTTGGAAGTGAAGGGGAGCTGTTGCATTGAGGGTAAATTGTAGTCAATGTCATGAAACAAAGTGTATGTGAACTGCTGTACAGAAAGTGAATTTGCTCTGTAAACTTTCACCCAAATCACAATTAAAAAAAAAAAAAAAATTCACCAAAAATCTATTCCTTTTGCCACCATAAATTATTTGGAAAATGCTTTCTTTCAACAATGGGAGTGAGAAAGTTGTTCACAACAGTGACAATGATGGAGTAGTGATGGTAATTTCAAAATGCATCCAGGAATAACTGCATTGGGGTACCAAAATCCAGGTCATACGGGGCAGGATATAAAAAAAAAAAAAAAATCATAAGCTCTTAGTTACACTTTAGGAAAAAATCATTTTACTATTTCATGCAACTTTCCTTTAAAAGAATTATCACCCACAAAGGGTTCCATGAGGATTGATTAGGTGCTTTCTCCTTCCCCAAAAATGTGTAAAATCTTGACATCTCCTGTGGTAAGAATGAAATAAATCAAAAGGATTGCTATAATTAATAACAAAAGGGCTAAATGTATAAGAATGAAGCTTGCATAAAACATACTTAATATAAAATTAATGATAACATCTCAGAAAAATGAAGAGACATGATGGCTAGTACAGCACAGCATCAACATTACGATTCCCAAAATACAGTATTAACAACATTGACACTGACATTTTATTTAAACACCTTAGGGTACTTATTGCTTCAAGTGTAAAAAGAACTACCCAAAACATCCTGAGAAAAAAAAGCATTAACTTGATATTGTAAAAAGTAAGTATTTTAGACATTAAAGATGTTTCATAAGAAAAAAATGACAACAAAAGTTTATGCCTAAATGCACATTAAAAAAAGCCTCAAGAAAATAACAAGCACATACATTTTAAAGCTCTAAGTACTATTGTCACTATTTAGAATAATGGGCAAATTGTCAGTAAGTGTTGTTGTTGTTATGTGCTGTTGAGTGGGACATGACTCACAGCGACCCCTCCTTGGGTTTCTGAGACAGTATCACTTTGGAAGTAGATTGCCCAATCTTCCTTCCGAGGAGTGGCTGGTGGGTTTGAACCGTCAGCCTTCTGGTTAGCAGTCAAGTGCCTTAGGCACTCCACTACCAGAGCTCCTTTGTCAGTAGGTAAGACCCCACTATTCCCTCTATTCTAAAATATAAGCCTGACGTATCACTTCCTATGGTCACCAGGTTTATAGAATCATGGATCTTAAATGCTGGAAGGAGATTCAAGAGTTCATCTGGTCCTACTCTTTTCATACAGGTGGCACATTATCTTCATGTTATAGATAGGAATTTACGTCGTTCCTTCAAGGTCACATAACTCATAAGTGGGGTGTAGGTGTAGGCTGGAATCGCAATCAGCTACTTGTTGGTGAACTGCTCTTCCTGCTCATGTCATTCAGCATCTCAAACAGGTATCATTGAGAAAGTGACACATAATGACAGTTTAGGTTCAATATTCCAAGAAGATGGGAAGAATAAGAGCTCTCTAAAGAGTCTGTTTGCTTTTCAATTCATTTTGTTCAATCCCAGCACGGCTTCCCTAAGTGCGCCCCTCACTTCCTCTCTCGATGTAACATAATAACCCACCCACTTTAATATAAATCCCCACAGTGGCTCGTCGCAGGCTCAGCACTGCAGCGTCCTTTTGCCCAGCCCAGCAGGGCATAACAACCCATCTCTGGGACCAAAGACTTGCCCAGCCCCTCAGGCTTAAAGTGGTACTCTCACTCCTCTATAGTCAGGCGCCCTTTCCCTCTCCCACCTCTGTGTTAACATTGCTTCAAATACGCCCTTCTCTCCCCGCCAATGCTGTGTCTGACACTACATCCAACTCCCACTCCCCTGAGAAAATTTAGATCTTTAGGGCCCCTCTCACTCGTGTCACCCACAGCTTTCCTCTCCATCCCACTAGCCTGGCCTGCAGTACTTATTCCTCCTCTGCACCGCCTCACCATGACACTGTCCGTCTCCACTCCCTCCTCGTAGCAATACTACATCCCCTACCTGCCCCCTACCCAGCAAAAGCTGGTTCACGGGCCCTGCGCCCGCTGTGGTGCCTGTCCCTCACCCGGCGATCACGGCCCCGATGAGGTACAGCAGCAACAGGCAGAAGGTGCCCAGATTCTGTGGGGCCATGGTCCCTCTGCCCCAGACTCTAGCCCAAGCACTCCTCACAGCAGCCTCCGTCGCCGCGTCGCCTCGGCAGTCCACCCGACTCTGTAGAGGCCGCTTCACGCCGGGGGTCTCCTATTCCGTCAGCAGCTAGTTTGCCCCTTCTTACAGTCCACTTCCCGGGAGTCCAGTCCCGGTCAGAGAAGCCCCCAGCAGGAGAAGGCCAATGGCTGCTCTGGACATCACACGCGCCGGCACCTCGGAGCCAATCAGCGCAGTACACTTCACCTCCGAGGCGGCGCGGGCGGCCAGTTAGGTCCCAGAACTGCAGCCGCAGTTCGTGGCCAATTAGAAGAGGAATCGTCAGAGGGTCGCGCCGCCGCAGGAATCCTCTCCTCGGCAACTCCAGCAAGTCGTAGAAATTTACGAAAGGGGGTGTGGGGCCAATCGAGGGCACCAGAGGTACAAGGTTTCCCGTCACCCGCCTCCTCGGACTCTTCACCAATCAGAAGAGCCTCCTCCGGCGCCAACAAGTTGCGGAAGGAAGCTTTATCTTGGTTACGAGGCCCGGAATTTCATTCATATTGAACTGCTTGTTGGATGCGGGGGCGGAGAGATGTAGGCGAAATGGGCGGGGACAATTACTCCACACCAATGGCACAACGAATTCTACTAACAACCACGGGAGGAAATTGTCCACGTTTTACAGAGGAGAGAGGAGTTCATCGTGACTTAAGGTGAACATCTTTGGTAGAGGCAGGCGGACTTAGGTTTGGATTCCACTTCCATCACTTCTTAGCGGTACGACACCCAGTCTGAAGTTCTTTATTAACAAAACTGGGACAAAGCACTTACTGACAGTGCTGTGAATTTTAATGGGAGAAAATCTTTAAGTCGTTTAGCACAGCGTCTGGCACATACTAAGCATGCAATGAATAATTTTTATTACAGTTACCAGCAGAACTCTTTCCCCTCATCTAATTTTGCTCATCTCAGTAAAGGCACCACCTAGTTGAGAAACTAAATTGTAGGTGTCTTCTCTTAACTATATCATGAATCTGTCCAACTATATCATGAATCTGTCCATAGCATCTCCACTACTAACTCGCTGAGCCAAGTCACCATCTCACATCTGGCAAGGGCTCCTAAGTGGTCTCTCTGCCTCCACTCTTAATAGCCTACCATCCATTGCTCACCCGTCCCTTTCCCATGATTTCAAATGTCAAATTATGTTGCTTCTGCTTAAAAGCCCTGATGGGTTTTCATTGCACTTAAAGCCCCAACTGTACCCTAGTTTACATGATCTGTTTCCTCACCTAATGTTACCATGTTCTAGCAAAGCTGGCTTCATTTCTGTTTTAAATACACTAAGCTCATTTAATTTTAGGACCTTTGTAGTAGCTGTTCTATCTGCCTACCACTTTTCCTCAGATCTTAATATGGGTGTAAAAATAGCCTGGTGGAGGCCTCTGACTTCCTCTAACTTCACAAGGGGAAGGGAGGATCATTATCAGCATCAACTGCCCTACGCTAATTCCTAGGAGTCAGGGGTTAGACATACCACCTCTTCCCAAACTTTTTACCAATTCTGACGTTGGCCATCCCTCTCACCGCACTTTTTACTTCTTTACTGGGTTTGATAATTCGCTGCAATGGCCAAACAGAACTCACAAACAATACGATTATGGGTTTATTAGGGAAGTAACAGGTTACAATTAAGGATCAAAAATGACTCAGTTCTTCCATCAGGAAGGACAGTTTCTTATTATCCATGCCAGCAGACACACCTCTCTCTGGCCCTTGGCCTCTTGGCCCTGCTCTGGCAGGTGTTACAAACTCTTTAGCTGTGCCAATAAGTGTCCTGAGGCATCCCATTCCACCAATAAGCCTCCTCCCTAAACATGCTTGGAAAACCCACTGCACTGTCTCCTGCGGCCACCATTTCTTTACTGCTGCTTCTTGCTGTCTCTGGTGTTATAGCTCTCTGTTGCCTGGGTCTAGGAGGTTCCCACCACAGGGATCCTGAGTCCAAAGGATGTACTCTGCTCCCAGCTCTTCTTTCTTAATGGTCATGAGGTCTGTCTTTCTGTCTCTGTTATGGTTCACTTTAAGCCTAGCAGGATGGTAAAACTGACCAGTCCCCTTGTTATTGATTTCCATGGTGCCACCCCCACAAGGGTGCACCTTATTTACATTATTAAAAAAGCTGTCTAAAATCCCATTTTATTTCTTTATTATGTATCGTCTGTTGTTGTTATTTGCCGTCGAGTCGGCCTGACTCATAGCGACCCCTCCTTGGGTTTCCGAGGCAGTATCACTATGGAAGTAGGATTGCCCAACTATTCTCATTAAAATATATACTCCAAGAAAACAGGGACTTTGTTTTTTTTACTAGGTAACCTAGTGCCTAGTACTCTGCCAGACATCCAGTGATGCTCAATAAAAAATGAATACTGTTGCTGAGAACTCTAAGGCACAGATGTTATTGTTGTTATGTGCCATCTAGCCGGCCCCGACTCATAGTGACCCTCCCTTGGGTTACCCAGGCGGTATCACTATGGAAGTAGATTGCCCAACCTTCCTTCCGAGGAGAAGGCACAGATAGAAGATGAAATTTGCCCAAGGTCATTGAGCTAGTTAAATAGGGCAGGTTAGAGCCTAATTTAGGTCTATTTGAATCCAATTTCCTGCTTTTGCATCTTGACTTATGGGGAGTTAAGAGGAAGACAAGATTACTGCTTTCAGGAAAATGCAGAATAGGGCAGAGAGGCCATGCCAAAGAGAACTTAAACTACATCTTATTATTTATCTTTGTGGAAGAATGGAACTAGAATGCTCCTTAGAAGGGAGAATAGCCAAGACTTTGTCTCACATACTTTGGTCATGTTGTCAGAAGGGACCAGTCCCTGGAGAAAGATATGTTTGGTAAAGTGGAGGATCAGAGAGAAAAGAGAAGACCCTCAATGAGTGGATTGACATAGTGGCTGCAATGATGGGCTCAAGCATGGCAACTATTGTGAGGATGGCACAGTACTGCAGTATTTCATTCTGTTGTACATAAGGTTGCTGTGCGTAGGAAATCAACTCAATGGCACCTAACAACATTTATCTTTCTATTCCCCACAAATACAGACATCATAAACAAAGCAAGCAGGTAATGACCACAAATCATGAAATGGAGGTTCAGAGAAAGGAGTAAGATATTCTGAGTGGAATCCAAAAAGTTTCATGAGAGGCAACATGGCATCTGAAGCTAACCGAATGAAGGGGGCCTCTCCTTTCAGACTGCCTGGGTTTGAATCTTAGCTCAAATCTCTTTTGTGAACCTTAGGAATATGTTACTTTAAGTTCTCTTCGACTGAGTTTTCTTATCACACATATGTACCTGACATAAAGGACTCTTGGGGAGCCTGAAATAATACACATAAAGGGTTTTACACAGAGCTCATAGTTAGTGCTCTATTGATGTAAACTGCCATTGTTATTGTGAATCGAAGCATGCTGACTTTGTCAGCAGCAATCCGCTGACTAGATTTCTGTGAAGCAACAGAAAACTTCCCAACTCCCTTAAGTTGGAGACCTGGTAGCGCAGTGGTTAAAGCACTCACCTGCGGACCAAAAGTCGAGGGTTGGAATCCACCAGATTCTCTGAGGGAGAAAAGACCTGGGGATCTGCTTTCGTAGATTATAGACATAGAAACCCTTTAGTGCAGTTTCTGCAATTCTACGCTCTTCTACAGAGTCCCAGCGTGGAGAACTCTTGGCCTGAGCCAAGTTCTTTTCGGACAAGAGAAGCGGCGGGCCCTCTAGCAACATGGTCCGCCAGTTCTCGGTGGTGCAAGGTCGCGCGCTTGCGCAGTGGGTACAGCGGAGCGCGGCGCGGCATAGGGCTGGGGGTGGGCGGGTGACCGCGACGTGGGGCGCTGCGGCGCGTGGAGAGGTCGGTGGAGCCGGGCCTGCCTTCGCAGGTAACCGCGCGTGGCTGGCGCCAGGGAGGGAGGCATGGGCCTGTCGAGGCTTGAAGGAATCTGCCTTCCAGCTGGCCAGGCCACGGGTCCGTTCCGGATTCTGTCAGCTGTGGCTTCCCGGTACCGGAAACCAGATCCTCTCGCTCGAGGCGCTTGGCGAAATCTCAGGGGGTCCTTCTTGGGCCTCCGGTCAACCTTCCTGCCTGAAAAACCCTAAGGGGCCCAAACACCCTGGGGGAGCTTTTGAAGAGAGAAAGAGCCCAGCTTATGTTTCTTTACAAATTTGGTCTTGAAGGACCAATGAGTCTTGAGTTTGAAGGAACCTTAAAGGGTACATCTCCTGGATCTGGCTTTACAGGGACGGGAGCCTAGTACCTCACAGAGCAGCGTGTTTCCATTTGGGGCCTAAGATCTTAAGTCACTTTAATCTGCTAGTTTTACTCAGAAGAACGCTGAGCCATTCCTTTATTCGAAAATAGCTGTCATTTACAAGTCCACACCTTTCATTTTGGGCACACATTCCCATTTTTCTTCCAGGGCTTTGAACCAGTGTGAACTGGTTCAGTCATGGCCAAAGAAACGGAAACTGGAACAGACTCATTTTTTTTTTTTTAATTTGAGTGATCCTTACGCTAACCAGAACGGGAAAAATTACTGGTCGAAGCTTGGAAAAGGTATAGTGAGCCCCTTCAGAAGCCGGATTGATAGCATCGGATTATTACCAAGACTATGGAGAGCAGACACATACATTCAGAGCTGTGAGCTCAGCCACCATCTTTGAGCTGAGCACCACTATTTTGGACTCAGCTGGTAAAGGTATTTGGTTGCTATGCGACACCCATCCTGCCCTTATTTTTAAGAGGATTAAATTTCTAGCAAGGCTTTGACCCATTTTTTCCATTCTGTTTAGTGTTCCAGTTCACCCACATTTAAAAAATTCAGGTCCATTCTGGTTTCACTTTGTCTACTATGACTGAACCTAAAGCTGTTCTAAGATCTGGTTCCTTCAAGTGGCCCTTAATATGGTCTCATGTCCACTCTTGTTTTCAGAGGGCATTCCAAAGCTGGGTTCCCAAAGTACATTTGTAGCAACACAGTTCTCAAGTCTCAAAACCGAAAAAAAACAAACTCACTGCCGTTGAGTTAGTTCCGATTTGTAGGGATCTCTCCTTGGGTTTCAGAGGCCGTATCTCTAAGGAAGTAGATTGCTCAGTCTGCGGTTGGTGGGTTTGAATTGCCAGCCTTCTGGTTATCAGTCAG